TCATGGCCTTGGCACTGTCCCTTAGCTTTTCCATTCAAAGCTAACACTCTACCACTTGGGCCACAGCTCCACTTCTGGCTTTTTGGTGGTTAGAGATAAAAGTCTCACATACTTTTCTGCCTGGGTTGGCTTCAAACTGAGATCCTCAGATCTCAACCTCCTGAGTAGCTAGGATTGCAGGTGTGATCTACCAGCCCCCAGCTGAAATGAATTCTAAAGGATAAGGACAAATTAAGTTTTCAGGAGAAGAGAACAGCAGAAAGTACTGTAGACCAAGTAGGTAGTAAAGACACTTGTAAGCCAGGTACTGGTGGCTCATGCCTATAATACTAGCTACTCGGGAGATTGAGATCTGAGGATCAGGATTCGAAGCTAGCCTTGGCAGAAAATTCCATGAGACTCTTACATCCAATAAACTACTCAGAAAAAGCCAGAAATGGCACTGTGACTCAAGTGGTACAGTACTAGCCTTGAGCTGAAGAGCTGAGGGACAGTGCCCAGGCCTACAGTTCAAGCCCCATGACCGGGAAAAAAAAAATCATAAAAGATTAAATCTGGAAAAGAGTATGGATAATCTAAGTGGAAAGAAATGAACATACCAGAAAGTAAAATACCAGAGATTCCTGTATATTACATATTTTCCTCATTTTTATATATCTTCTCTATGCTGCAAAACAGGAATAATGTGAGATTGAGGCTGGGCAACAGAAATCTTAGCTACTTAGGAGGCTGAGAACTGAAGATTGTCATTTGAAGCCAGCATAAGCAGGCAAGCTGGAAGTGGAGCTGTGGTTCCAAGTAGTACAGCATTAGCCTTGAGCCAAAAAAGGTCAGAGACAGCACCCAGTTTCTAAGTCAAGCTCTAGTATTAGTGCATGTGCGCACACACACACATACATACATATACACACACCCACACAGGAGAGAGAGGTAGATACTCAGCACAGATAGTAAACAAATGGTAGTTAGGATTTGAGGCTAAGCCTTTCTACTTTCACAGTCAAATCATCTGCTCTCCAGCCTCCAACTATCATGTGGATAAATCATCATATTAGGATTTTAAAAGGTTGTATATCTACCCCAGGGCTTGGCCCAGAGGGAAATATATTGGGAACTCCTATTACCTAGACCGCTTCTTCTTTTTTTTTTGGGTCCGGTCATGGGGCCTGAACTCTGGGGCTGAGTGCTGTCCTTCAGCTCTTCAGCTCAAGGCTAGCACTCTACCACTTGAGCCACAGTGCCACTTCCAGCTTTTTTCTTTTTGCTTATGTGGTGCTGAGGAATCGAAACCAGGGCCTCAGGCATGCAAGGCAAGCGCTCTACCACTGAGCCAAGCTCTACCACTGAGCCAACTTCCCAGCCCCCGAGACCGCTTCTATTTTGAAAGGGAAAAGTCAAGAAGCCTGCCTGGATGTAATTTTCCAGTTTTTGTACATCTCATCTCCTTCATGTATCAGGCAAGATTTCCCTTGCCCTATCATCACAATTTCTGTGTGTGTGTGTGTGTGTGTGTGTGCGTGTGTATGTGCACATACACATGTGCACATCCTGGGGATTGAACACAGGGCCTGGGTGGTATCCCTGAGTTTTTTTTGCTCTACCACTTGAGCCACAGTTCCACTCTCCACTTCTGGCTTTTTGGGTGGTTAATTGGAGATAAAAGTCTCACAGACAGGCTGGGAAGGTGGCTCAGTGGTAGAGTGCTTGCCTTGCATGCATGAGGCCCTGGGTTCTATTCCCCAGCACCACATAAGCAAAAAGAAAAAAAGCCGGAAGTGGCACTCTGGCTCAAGTAATAGAGTGCTAGCCTTGAGCTGAAGAGCTGAGGGACAGCGCCCAGGCCCAGAGTGCAGAACCTATGACCGGACCCAAAAAAAAAAAAAGTCTCACAGACTTTACTGCTAGGGATGGCTTTGAACCAAAATTCTTAGACCTTAGCCTCCTGAGTAGGATTATAGGTGTGAGCCACTGGCATGCAACCACAATTACTTTAATATTCACAAGGTCTCAAAGGTTTGTTTTCATCTTTTCCTTCTAGCCAAAACATGCTTCTGAAAGTCCCCTCTGAAACAGTCTCCTTATTCTTAGGAGTTTAGAATCTCCCCCATTTCCCTTTTCTCCTTTAGGTACACACATAGCTAACCTAAAGCACTCTTTACTCTTTCAGAAGATTCATTGATATCAGGTAGACAGGAATGCTCTCTCTATACTTGCACTTATTTTCTAGCTTTTTTGTTGTTGTTATTATTATTATTATTGTTGTTGTTGGTTTGTGAGATTTGAACTTGGCCTGGGCACTATCCTTGAGCTCTTCAGCTCAAGGCCAGCGCTCTACTACTTGAGCTACAGCACCACTTCTGGTTTTCAGGTGGTTAATTAGAGATAAGAGTCTCTAGACTTTTCTGCCCTGGCTGGCTTTGAACTGCCATCCTCAGATCTCAGCTTCCTAAGTAGCTAGGATTATAGGCATGAGTCACTGGCTTCTGGTCCTGAGCTGCTTTTGCTCAAGGTTAGTGTTCTACCACTTGAGCCACTTCCAGCTTTTTAAGTAGTTTATTGGAGATGAGAGTCTCATGGATTTTTATGCCTGGGCTGGCTTTGAACCACAATCCTTAGATCTCAGCTTCCTGAGTAACTAGGATTACACCTGGCTAGCATTTTTAATTAGAAAGACTAGTATGTATGACAAGACTGTAAACATTTGTAAGGTAGAGTCAGGTACTAGTGGCTCAGGCCTGTAATCCTAGATACTCTCAGGAGGCTAGATTTGAGGATCAAGGTTCAAAACCAGCCTAGGCAGGTAAGTCTGTGAAACTTATCTCCAATTAACCATAAAAAGCCAAAAGTAGAACTATGGCTCAAAGTAGTAGATCACTAGCCTTGAGCACAGAAGCTCAAAGACAGCACCGGTGAGTTCAAGCCCCAGGTTGGGCAAGAAAAAAAAAAAAAAAGATTTGTAAGATTAATCATTCATGGGCTGAGAATGTGGTTGTGATAGAGTGCTTGCCTAGCATGCATGAAGCCTTGGGTTCACTTCCTCAGTACCACATACACAGAAAAAGCCAGAAGTGGCGCTGTGGCTCAAGTGGTGAGCAAAAAAAAGCTGAGGGACAGTGTCCAGGTCCTGAGTTCAAGCCCCACTGGCAAAAAAAAAAAAAAAAAAGATCATTCATGAAATGTCTTCCTATCTTTGCCCAGCCAATAGTTTCTGAAGACCAGACAGCAGCTCTGATGGCCCATCTCTTTGAAATGGGATTCTGTGACAGGCAGTTGAATCTAAGGCTGCTGAAGAAACATAATTACAACATCCTGCAAGTTGTGACAGAACTCCTTCAAGTCAACAATAATGACTGGTACAGCCAACGCTACTGAGGAGTGACCTTGCATTAAATAACTGCCTGCTGCTTAGAGATGATTTTTATTTGTTATTGGGGGATGGAGTAGAGACCCTTGATTATTTTTTAATCTGAATAATCTATATAGAACCCATCACTGAATTATCAAGACACTACCAGTTATAGTATTTTTTGGAGCAAATCAAAGACCACAACCTAAATTTTCACTTTAGGAATTGGGTGAGTAGTAGGAAGACAGTTTTTCAATCAATTTGGATAAAACTCCTTTCTCAGTGCATTGAGGAGTGTAACTTTGACTTTCTGTAGGACCATTGTTTTCCACTTGTATTGAAGTTGAGTATTCTTTGTTGGTTCATGTGGATGTTTTTAATGAGATATCTATTAAACGTCAGGTGTTTTGTTTTTTTTTTTAGAAATTAGCCTTGGAAGTTATGTTTAAGAATTTTCATAATTTCTGTAACCAACCCCAATCCTCATAGGCATATGTCATTGAAAAGACACCAGAGCAAGACAGAAATATTGCCACTCTCTTTCTCAAGAAGAAAGTCATTTTCCTGCAGGACTTTGTAAGAGCACCTTGTTTCCTAGAGACTTCATTGGTGCATATCAGTATCTACCTTGCAAGAATCTCAAAAGTCTGAGACAGTATGCACCTGTTGAGCAGTGTCTTGTAGTAATTTTGCATATATTTTTCTTTTATTTAAGGACAAAAAGTTTAGGTAGTATGAAATATTTTGCTGATCTTATAGAGGAAAAAAAAGTATTACATAAAGGGAAAGAGGAATTTAATAGTCACCTGTTTTCTAAATGTCAGGGAAGATCTTATTTTATAGTAGAGTGGGGGAAATAGAAACCAGAAATGCAAGCTGGCTCTTATGTTAATGTTCAGAAGTGTGGCACAGGAAATGCTGTTGACTTATTGAATGTTTGGAATCCATTCAGAGAGACATCTAGCCCTAGAAGTGTAGCTGCTGCTTGAACAACTTCGATGGGGGCCAACTCACGGATAAGTTTTGGATTAGCCCTAGAGAATTGAGTGGAAGGAGTTGCTTCTAGGAGCTCAGTTGCTTCTATTTGCAGAAAGGAAGTGTTGGGCTCATTGGTAAGGGAAAAGGTAACAGAAAATTAAACTTTTTATTCATGAAAGTGGCTTTCAGAAAAGGTTAAAAAAAAAAAAAGCAAAACTCCAGCTGGAGGGGAAAAGATAGTTAAAATAGTATTATTTAACCTGGTCGGTATTTATAATGAATGGCGATTTTAATTAGTCATAATGTTTATTTACAGTATAACTCTCGAATGCTACTTAAATAAACCAGAATTCAGACCGCAAGTCAACCGGGCTGTTCATTATTTACGACGTTTTTTAATCGGGGCTTCATGAAGCCAGGGTGTGGATAATGGGGTTGATTTCAAACGGGCCCGGTTTTGACCAACTGTGTCGTCCTCCCCGTAGTACCTGTACATAACCACTTAAAGAATGGTGAAATAAATGACCTTTGAAACCCCTACCTGGACTAAGGTGGTCCTTTGGGAAGAAGTGTCTGTGACCTCGGGTGACCTTTGCGGAGTTCAGGGGCGGGGCGGGGGCGCTGGGGCGGAGCTTCCCAAAGCACTCTGTCAAAGCTCCCGCCTACTGCCGCACTTTCGGTTCCATCCGCGAGCAGCCGTTTCTGTCCGCCTTGAGGAAGGCCGTCCTGCGTCGACTCTCTTCCTTTCCCTTTCGGAGGTAAGAACCTGAGAGACATTTTGGGCTTCCTCTTCCAACACTGGCACACACAGGTATCCAACTCCAGCCTCTGTGTCTGATGGAGTTTGAAGTCCCATGCACACTGGCTGACACACCTCCCAACTAGAGCAGGAAGCAGCTTGGTCCTCCCAGGAAGCTAGGGACCTGATCCCCTCTCCGATCCACGGCTGCAACGCCGCATAGCCACTCCCCCAAGACTCTGCTGTAGGGGGCTGATTGCTCCTCCACCTCCCACCTCCATCCCTACATTTTTTTAGAGGCATTCTAGAAAACTTGGCTTGCAGCTGAAATGAGCCAGGCATCCCGGATCAGAGCCCCTGGCTCCCTTTAGTTTAGCCCAGGAAGATCAATCTGTGTGCCTCGACCTGCCTACCTCATTCTGCCACTCCTTGGGTCTTTTGGAGAAAAAGTGCAGATTTACTCATTTTTAATGGACAGACAGACCTTGACATGACCACAGCCACCCTCAGGCCTTTCAATTCTGCCTGAGGAACTATTTGCTTCCACTCAGGAAAACAGTCTTTAGCCCTACCTAGATGGGTGCTCTCCTTTCTCCTTGCTTAAAACAAATCCTACCTTCCTGTTACCTCAGTACTACCCAGGGCCAGGAACCAAAGCTTTCCACACCAGTATGCAGATCTCAGGCATTTCTGTCCTAGTGTTCTGAGAGATCTCTTCAGAATAATCACCAGATTAAGGATAAAAGGCCCTCTGGGTCTGTCCTGTCTCCTGTCTCAGCCCTTTCCAGCTTCCTTCCTTTAAAGGAATGTCAGCTCAGCAACTTTATCAGAGAAAGTTACTAGTGCTCTGCATTCACTTATGGAAATCCCCTAAATTGAAATAACTTCTGCTTTTCTCTTTTATAGAGCATTTTGTCTCTTTCAATAGTGAAATGCATTGAGATTTCATATCTGGTCTTGTGTGTCACACATCCACACACACCAAGCTTGTTGGGCTTCAGCTTGCTTACATTGTGGTAGAGCTTCTTGCAAATCTTGAGAACTTAAAATCAGATTTTTGAACTCTGAGTCTGGGCTCTGTCCCTCAGCTCTTCAGCTCAAGGCTAGCACTCTACCGCTTGAGCCACAGCGCCACTTCTAGTTTTCTAGTGGTTTATTGGAGATAAGAGTCTCATGGACTTTCCTGCCCGGACTAGCTTTGAACTGCGATCCTCAGATCTCAGCCTCCTGAGAAGCTAGTATTATAGGCATGAGCCACCGGCGCCCAGCAAAATCAGAATTATTAATGGTGGCTCACACCTGTAATCCTAGCTACTCAAGAGACTGAAATCTGAGGATTGCCAGCATGGACAGGAAAGCCCATGAAACTTAAACTACCAAAAAAGAAGTGAGCCAGGTGCTAGTGGCTGTGATATATATACATATATATACACACGCACACACACACATATATATATATGTCAGAATTATATCTAGCATCCATTCTAATAATGTTAGCAATGAACTTTGCTCCTATCAGTGAAAAATTCCTGTCTCTCAACAGATGGGTGGGTCAATTTCCCAGCTGGACTCTCAGCAGGAAGATGAAAGCAACACTGTCCTGCCCCAGAACCCAGCCATTGACAGCAAGGCTATCAGCTACTCAAGCATGAATAACAGCAAGACTTTTTGTTCCTATATGCCTAATGAATGCACAGCTAGTACCAGCTTTGTTACTTGTCCTACTTGCCAAGGCAGTGGGGAGATCCCCCGAGGTAAGTGGCCCAAGATTGCAGGGCCTAAATCCACAAAGAGCTCTTGACCAACTAGCCAAGGTTTAGCCCCTGAATCTCCTAGAATAGTTGAATCTGCTTCCAGTTTGTGATCTCCCAGTCAAAAACTGGTCAGGGAGGGCGGGGAAGGTGGCTCGGTGGTAGAGTGCTTGTCTTGCATGCATGAGGCCCTGGGTTCAATTCCTCAGCATCACATAAGCAGAAAAAAACAGAAATGGTGCTGTGGCTCAAGTGGTAGAGTGCTAGGGTTGAACTGAAGAGCTGAGGGACAGTGCCCAGGTCCAGAGTTCAGGCCCAAAACCAACAACAACAACAACAACAAAAAAAAACTGGCCAAGGAGATGCTATCATAGGACTCTCTGAAAACATATAAATATGTACACACACACAGTGCTACTGACTTATTCTCCAGCCATTAGAGGGAGGATACCTAGTCAAAGTCACTCTGCTCCTCAAGCAACAGTCTGTTTTAGGATTCAAGAAGTTACAAATTGGGGCTGGGAAGGTGGCTTAGTGGTAGAGCGCTTGCCTTGCATGCATGAGGCCCTGGGTTCGATTCCTCAGCACCACATAAGAAAAAAGAAAAAAGCCGCAAGTGGCGCTGTGGCTCAAGTGGTAGAGCACTAGCCTTGAGCTGAAGAGCTGAGGGACAGCGCCCAGGCCCAGAGTTCAGGCCCCACGACCAGACCAAAAAAAAAAAAAAAAAAAGTTACAAATTATCTCTTCAAATAAGCTGGGGGTATCTGATTTGCTAGGGATTTCCATATATTCTTCAGACTTGGTAATGGAAACCTCATTTCTATTCTCGGTCAAAGCTACTAACTCATAGCACAGCCCAGTATTCCCAGACCCGTTCTAGGATAGAAGTAGTATGTTTCTATATGGAGAGGTGCTTCTGTGAGGCTAGCACAAGAAACATTTGTCATGGACACTTCTTGATCCTCCTCTCACCCTCTTTCTCTCTACAGAGCTGGAGAAGCAGCTGGTGGCTCTCATCCCCTATGGGGACAAAAGGCTGAAACCCAGGCGCACGTGAGCCACAATTCTTCCTTCATCTCCACAGACTATCACCCTTGGTGGTCATGTTACTAGTGTGTGTGCTGTGTTTGGATCCTTTCTAATTTATTCTATAAAAACCCTGAGCTTTGGGGCTGGGAAGGTGGCTCAGTGGTAGAGCGATTGCCTTGCATGCATGAGGCCCTGGGTTCGATTCCTCAGCACCACATAAGCAAAAAGAAAAAAGCCGGAAGTGGTGCTGTGGCTCAAGAAGTAGAGCGCTAGCCTTGAGCTGAAGAGCTGAGGGATAGCGCCCAGGCCCAGAGTTCAGACCCCACCACCAGACCCAAAACAAAAAAAACAAAAACAAAAAAAAACCTGAGCTTTGCTGGGTTCAAACATAACCAGCTCTTTGTTTCTAAGGATTTTCCTGGTTTAAGAATGATAGTGCTGGGGCTGGGAAGGTGGCTCATTGGTAGAGTGCTTGCCTTGCATGCATGAGGCCCTGGGTTCAATTCCTCAGCACCACATACACAGAAAAAGCTTGAAGTGGGTGCTATGGCTCAAGTGGTAGAGTGCTAGCCTTGAGCTGAAGAGCTCAGAACAGTGCCCAGGCCCAGAGTTCAAGTTCCACAACCAGCAAAAAAAAAAAAAAAAAGAATGATAGTGCTTGGGGCTGGGAAGGTGGCTCAGTGGTAGAGCGCTTGCCTTGCATGCATGAGGCCCTGGTTTCGATTCCTCAGCACCATATAAGCAAAAAGAAAAAAGCCATAAGTGGTCCTATGGCTCAAGTGGTAGAGCGCTAGCCTGGAGCTGAAGAGCTGAGGGACAGCGCCCAGGCCCAGAGTTCAGGCCCCATGACCAGACCCCCCCCCCCAAAAAAAAAAAAAAAAAAAGAATGATAGTGCTAGGGCTGGGATGTAGCCAAGTGGCAAAGCACTTGCCTAGCAAATGCAACATCCTGGGTTCAATCCCCAATACCAAAAAAGAAAAAACCAAAACAAACAAAAAAAGAATGATAGTGCTGGAGCCAGGTGATGATAGCTCACACCTGTATCCTAACTACTCAGGAAACTGAGATCTGAAAATCATGGTTCAAAGCCAGCCCAGGCAGGAACATCCATGAGACTCATCATCTATAAACCACCAGAAAACTGGAAGTGGCGCTGTGACTCAAGTGGTAGAGTGCTAGCCTTGAGCTGAAGAGCTCAGGGACAGCTCCCAGGCCCAGAGTTCAAGCCCCACAACTGACCAAAAAGAAAAAGAATAGTAGTGTTGCTGGACATAGTGATATATACAGTACTTGGAATCCCAGAACTTGGTAAGCAGAGGCAGGAGGATTGAGTTTGAGGCCAGCCTAGTGAGACCCTGTCTCAAACACCCACTCTCTCTCTCAAAAAAAAAAAAAAAAAAAAAAAGATAATAGACAGGTACCAGTAATCCTAACTACTCAGGAGGCTGAGATCTAAGAAAAGTGGTTTGAAGTCAGTCCAGGCAGAAAAGTCTATGAGAGTCTTACTTCCAATAAACTACTCAGAAAAAGATGGACGTGGTACTATGGCTCAAATGGTAGAGCGCTATCCTTGAGTAAAAGAAGCACAGAGTCAGCACCCAGGCCCAGGGTTCAAACCCCAGGACCAGGAAGAAAAAAAAATGTGGTCAGGAGCTGGGGTTTTAGGTCAGCAGTAAGATTATTTTTCAAGCATTCATGAGGCCCTGGGTTCAATTCTTAGCACCATTAAAAGAAATGGTGGCTCATGCCAGTAATCCTAGCTACTCCTGCCAGCCTGGGCAGGAAAGTCATGAGATTCTTATCTCCAATTAACCGCCAGAAAACCAGATGTGGAGCTGAGGCTCAGAGAGAGTGGTAGAGCACTAGCCTTGAGAACAAAAGCTCAGGGACAGTGCCCAGGCCCTAAGTTAAAGCCCCACGACCTACAATCAATCAATAAATGCTTGGCACTGGTGGCTCACACCTGTAATCCTAGCTACTCAGGAAGCTGAGCTCTGGGGGGATCATAATTTGAAGCCAGCCCATTCAAAAAGTCTATGACATTCTTATCTCTAATTAACCAGCAAGAAGCCTGTAGTGGAGGTGTACTCAAGTGGAAGGGTTCTAGCCTTCAGCAAGAGTGAGAGGCCCTAAATTCAAACCCCAGTACTGGCACAAGAAAAACACAAGGAGGAATAAGGAAGGATTGAAGGAAGAAAGAGATAAATGTCATAGATAGGGTAATTATCACACTATATGTATATACTGAGACATCATATTATACCTTATAAACATGTACAATTATGTGTTAAGCAAAATAAAATCAAACTTTAAAAAAAAAAAGCAGCATCAGACAAAATAATTATCTCTTTAGGTCACTTGATAACCCTCCCAGACCATCACTGCTTCCAAGAAGCATGGCTCCCTCTCCAAGACAGAAAGGAACTCCCTCCTGCCTCTCCAAATCCTACCAGGACAGAGCACAGGGTCCTAGCTGCAGTTACTTGGGGAAGTTATTTTTCCCTTATTATGGTAGTTTAGAACAGCTTGTTTTCTTTCCAGTAGGGATAGAAAGCCAGCTGTTTCCTATCTGGAAACTACTGGGAACCTCAGATGCAGCTGAGGATCTTGTATGTGATCCAGGTCCATGTGACATGGATCTTTTCAACTTCAAGGGTCTCAGCATAGTTTGAGAGCCACCACTCAGCTTCCCCAAACATTGCACTAAAATTAGAAACTAGCAGTGTTCCTCAGGAGATACTAACAAAGTACTGACTCTAGTGAATAGCTCTGATTTTGTATATATAGCTTGTTTTTCAGTGCTGGGATTAAACCCACTGCTTGGAGAATGCTAGGCAAGTACTTGAGTACTTGAGCCACTCCTCCAACTCTGTTTTCATTTTGTTTCTAGGGGATAAGGTCTCATGCTAGCTTTGTCTGGGCTGGCATCCAAGTCAACACCCTCCTGCTTCCACTTCCTGAGTAACTGGGCGTATCTGAGGTTCTGTGGTTATTTTGTGCTTCTATGGAGGGCTTGAACTTAGAGCCTTGTGCTCTTGCTTAGATTTTTTTTTCACACAAGGCTGAACCCCTACCACTTAAATCACAACTCCACTTCTGCCTTTTGATTGTTAATTGGAGATAAAGTCTCAGATTTGTCTTCCCTGGCTGGCTTTGAACCACAATCCTCAGATTTTAGCCTCCTGAGTAGAAAAGATTACAGGCATGAGCCACCAGCACCTAGTTTTGCTTATAATTAGATAGAGGGATAGTAGCCTGTTCTGAATATCAAATTTGATTAATTATTACAATTCAGAACACTCATGTGTAGCCTGGCACAGGTAGCTCACACCTGTAATCCTAACTACACAGGAAGCTGAGTTCTAAAGATCTCAGTTCAAAGCCAGCCTTATGCAGACAAATTCATGGGACTCTTCAGTTACACACATACACACACACACACACACCCCAGAAGTAAAAATGTGGTCAAGTGGCAGAGCGCTAGATTTGAACCCAAAAGTTCAAGAACAGCACCAAGGCCCTGAGTTCAAGCCCCAGGACCAGCAAATAATTTTTTTAGACATTTTTCAAAGTAACTTCATTTCTCAATGACAAAGATTTGCATTCTTTATCATTCACATTCAGAAAATTCCACAGCCATTAGTCCTTCTTGCTTCTCTTGTCTGCTGGCTGCTTTTCCAGAGTAGAGAAGTTGTGGAAAGACATTATTTAGCTGGAAAAAGTTATTTTAGGGAACATTCTTTTTTTGGGGGGGGTCCAGTCCTGGGGCCTGAACTCTGGGCCTGAGCGCTGTCCCTCCGCTCTTCAGCTCAAGGCTAGCACTCTACCACTTGAGCCACAGCACCACTTCCGGCTTTTTTCTTTTTGCTTATGTGGTGCTGAGGAATCGAACCCAGGGCCTCATGCATGCAAGGCAAGCGTTCTACCACTAAGCCACCTTTCCAGCCGGGAACATTCTTTTTAAGTGGCATTATTTATTATTATCTTTAAGTAGTTGTAGAAAGAAGTTCCTATTCTACAAAACAGTATATGAATACAAGGTGTCTGACAACATTGTCACCCATTGCTCCTAACCCATCCCTTTTCTCTCCCCTTTTTTTAAAAATTGAGATTAGGTGATTACATAAATTTCACATATTTCACAGTATTGTGGAATAGTGATACTTAGTTAAAGTCATAAACACATTTTAACCTTCACAAGGCACATTGTCATTATCATGGTCTATACAGTTTGTGAATTCTCTGAGCTTTTACAATACAAATTATTTTTTCCACATCAAGGGATGCTTACATTTCTTTTCTTTTTGCTTAGTGTAGGCTGTTCCCTCTTTCCCTCTCATTCTTCTCTTCCCATTGCTGTCTTTGGTTGCTTAGTTCTTTTTCTTCTATGTCCAGTGAAGCTGATGGGTCCTTTTGTTGTAGGTTGTTCCATTTCCCACTTATTCTGTATCCTCCTCCTGTCTTCCCTCTGTTGTGTGCATATATCTACCATATATATGGTCAAGAACATGGAGTCATGGGGCTGGGAAGGTGGCTCATGGTAGAGCACTTGCCTTGCATGCTCGAGGCCCTGGGTTCGATTCCTCAGTACCACATAAGCAAAAAGAAAAAAGCCGGAAGTGGCGCTGTGGCTCAAGTGGTAGAGTGCTAGCCTTGAGCTGAAGAGCTGAGGGACAGCGTCCAGGCCCAGAGTTCAGGCCCCACAACCGGACCCAAAAAAAAAAAAAAAGAACATGGAGTCATTTAGTAATGATATGACAAAATGAGTGGCTGTCCTTTGTTTCTCAAGTCCTGTTTACTTTGTCATATCTTCTTGCATTTTGGCTTTAGCATCCACATATCAGGGAGACCATGTGCCCTTTGTCTCTTTTTTTTTGTTTTGTTGGTCGTGGGGCTTGAACTCTGGGCTTGGGCACTGTCCCTGCGCTCTTCAGCTCTAGGTGAGTGCTCTACCGCTTGAGCCACAGCGCCACTTCTGATTTTTGAGTGGTTTTTTGGAGATAAGAGTCTCACAGACTTTCCTGCTGGGGCTGGCTTTGAACCGTGATCCTCAGATCTCAGCCTCCTGAGTAGCTAGGATTACAGGTATGAGCTACCAGCATCCAGCTATCCATTGAGTTCTTAACTATGAACTAGGAGCACTGTTTTCCTACTATTTTTTCATGCTTTAGCCCATTGCAAATTCTATGAGGTAAGTATAACTATCTCCATCTAAAAAAGAGAAACTGCCAGGCATTGATGGCTCATGCTATAATCCTAGCTGTTGGCTGTGGTGAAGTCATCCTGTGGTGGCTGACATTTTGGCTGCTGAGGTTCCACCAGGCTGTCTGCATCTCAGGGTCCCTGACATAGCCTGACCACTAACACCAACTACCTCACAGTCAATTTCCTGCTCACTCCCTTACCATCAATTTTCCTTACACAGTGCAGACTCCCACTTCCTTGTTCCTATAGGTTTACTCCCCACCTCATTCCTACAGGTTCACTCCCCTATAATTACCCCCTTAGCTGCTGTGTCCTGATGGAAACAGCCTGTCAGTCTCTCTGACATTAAACCTTACTTTCCTGGAAGTGTGTAGTGTGCTTTATTCAGTCTAGTTCTAAAACTAGCTTACTGGGGGAGGCTGAGATCTTAGGATTGCGGTTCAAAGCTAGCCTGGGTTGAAAAGTCCCAGAGACACTTATTTCCAATTAAACATTTTAAAACACACACACACACACACACACACACACACACACACACACACACACACACACACACACACACACACACACACACCTGAATATAGCACTGTGGCTCAAAGTGGTAGAGTCCTAACCTTAAGCAAAAAGACGTCAAGGATAATGCCCACGCCCTGAGTTCAAGCCCCACGTCCAGCATAAATAAATAAAATAAGGCTTGGAGAGATTACATGGGCTTCTCAGCATTACTAGGTCAATGAGGTCAGAGCTGGAAATGGAAGTGTCTACCAGCCAATCCTGTGCTCCCACCCATACTGGACCACAGCTAAGAAGCTAAACATGCAATTGTGGGGTGGATATATATGGGAGAACTTTGTATCTAGAGAAAAGTATGTAAAGATCTCTCCATCTTTCCTGGGTGTTCACATTCCTCTCTTCCTCCATGCGTTCCCACAGGAAGCTCTTTGTGTTCCTGACTATGCTCATATGCCTGGTGACCTCCTCCTTCATCATCTTTTTCCTGTTTCCCCGGTCTGTTGATGTGGAGCCTGCAGGCCTCAACTCCTCTATGGTGGCCTTTGATGAAGAAAATATCCAAGTCAACATGACAGTGGGTACCCATGTTCCCTGTAGCATTTGTTCATATATATATATATATATATACACACACACACACACACATATATACATATACATATACATATGTATATACATATATATGTATATATGTGTGTATATACATATATATATATATATATATGCATCAATACTGGGTCTTGAACTCAGGGCCTGGGCACTGTCCCTTAGCTTTTTCAGTTAAGGCTAGTGCTCTACCATTTGGGCCACAGGTCCACTTACAGTATTTTTAGTGGTTAATTGGATAGAAGACTTTCTGGGACTTTACTGACTGGGCTAGCTTCAAACCATGAACCCAGCTGCCTTGTCTTCATTGGGTGTTTTGAGGGTGAATTCAGACTCAGTGCTGCTATTACAAAGCATTCTGGGGGCTGGGAAGGTAGCTCAGTGGTAGAGTGCTTGCCATGCATGCATGAGACGCTGGGTTCCATTCCTCAGCACCACATAAGCAGAAAAAGCTGGAAGTGGTGCTGTGGCTCAAGTGGTTGGGTGTTAGCCTTGAGCTAAAGAGCTGAAGGACACTACCCAGGCCCAGAGTCAAACCCCATGATTGACAAAAAAAAAAAAAAGGGGGGGTGTGGGGCTGGGAAGATGGCTCAGTGGTAGAGTGCTTGCCTTGCATGCATGAGGCCCTGGGTTCGATTCCTTAGCACCACATAAAGCTGAAAAAGCCAGAAGTGGCGCTGTGGCTCAAGCAGTAGGGCGCTCGCCTTGAGCTGCAAAGCTGAGAGACAGCACCCAGACCCAGAGTTCAGACCCCACGACTGACAAATAAAAAAAGCATTCTGGCTTTCCCAACCTGGGATTTACAATGAAGAGTGAAAAAAGATTCCTGGTCATTGACCCAGCTCCTGAGTACTTAGGATTACTTAGGTGTGAATCACCCCAGCTTGTTATTTTTTTCTTAATTTTTTTTTTTTTTTTTCTGATCATGGAGCTTGAACTTAGGGCCTGGGAACTGTCCCTGAGCTCTTGTGCTCAACACTAGCACTCTACCACTTTGAGCCACAGCACCACCTCCAGTTTTCTGGTGGTTAATTGGAAATAATCTAAGGGACTTTCCTGCCAGGGCTGGCATTGAACCTCGATCCTCAGATCTCAGCCTCCCTAGGATTACAGGCATGAGCCACCCATGCCTAGCTTGACACTTTCATTGCTTTTGAGAACCTTAACTTGCTTGGTTGCCTAGACTGGTCTTTGGGTAGCTGAGATCACAGGGATTCACTACCATGCCATACCTTTGTGTGTGAATGTGTGTCAGTCCTAGGGTTTGAGCTCTGGTGTGGGTGTTGTCCTTGAGCTTTTGTGCTCAAGATGAGTGCTCTACCACTTGAGACACAGTTGAACTTTCAGCTCTGTTAATTGGAGATAAGAGTCTCAGGGACTTTCCTGCCCTGGCTGGCTTCCAACTGCAATCCTTAGATCTCAGCCTCCTGAGTAGTTAGGATTACAGGCTGAGCCACCAGCACCTGGGAAAGAGTGAGCCTCTCTGCAATTATGGGTTCCCTGGGAGGAAATAACAACCAGCCCTGAATGAAGCTGAAGAAGCTGGGCAAGCACCGGCAGGTTTGGAACTAGGAGCCTCTACCTACTGAAGCACCAGGTGGTGGGACTGTGATAGACGAAGGCATCACAGGTGTCACCTGAAAAAGTGAGCATCCAGTGCCGATGCCAACATTTGCTTTGTCCAGGGAGACTTGCAGAAAACTCCAACAGCAGATCTGGCTTGCACAGACAGAAAAGGTGACTATGGAAGTGGAAGCCCCCTCAAAGCCAGCCAGGACTAGTGAAGCACAGACCAAACAATGAAAGAAGATACAAGCTCCCCGAGATGTACATGGGGGACTTGAAGAGCTAAATCTCTTTTCAACCAAAAGATTCTCAACTGGAGCCAGAAAGATTTGGTTGTTTCAGAGGACTTTGGAGAAATCATGATCCCCTTTCACTATCCTCAGATTCCTCTTCCACAGCTTATGGAACTCCCCTGGAGGGATGTTAGGAAGGAAGAAGGCACAGAAGAAAAATTGGAGAGCATCTTTTTCTCTTTCTTTCCTTCCTTTTCTTTCTTTCTTTCTTTCTTTCTTTCTTTCTTTCTTTCTTTCTTTCTTTCTTTCTTTCTTTCTTTCTTTCTCTCTTTCTTTCTTTCTTTCTTTCTCTCTTTCTTTCTTTCTTTCATTCTTTCTTTCTTTCTTTCTTTCTTTTTCTTTCTTTTGTTAGTCATGTGGCTTGAACTCTGGGCCTGGATGCTGTTCCTGGGCTCTTCAACTCAAGGCTAGCATTCTACCACTTGAGCCACAGCAACATTTCTGGTTTTCTGTTGATTTATTGGAGATAAGAATCTCACAGACTTTCCTACCCAGACTGGCTTTGAACCATGATCCCCAGATCTCAGCCTCTTGAGTAACTAGGGTTATAGGTATGCCTAGGCACTGAGTTCAAGCCCTAGGATCAGAACAACAACAACAACAAGAAGTTAAACCAAATAAATAAAATGAAGAGGCCTTGAAAAAGCTTCCCTGTACTTAGTCCTCTGCACTTTAAAGTCCATTGTGGTAGGATGGAGATTAGACTAGATTAGACTAGTCAAGATTCATCAACTGTTTGGCTTCTCCTAGGAAGGCAACCCTCACTCCTCTCTTTCCTTGTCTTCATTTCCAGAATGTCTTGAACATCTCCAACACTAACTACTACCCTATCACTGTGACTCAGCTGACCATCGAAGTTCTGCACCTGTCCCTCATAGTTGGACAGGTCTCCTACAGCCTCTTCCTGCATGTTGGCCCTTTGGCAAGTGAACAGGTAAGTGACTGCCTTCTTGGCCAGACCTGTCCCAGTGTGTGTAGATGTGTGGTGATGGTGGGAAGAGAGAGATCCTGAAGTTAGTACTAACTCTGTGTCCATTTGGTTGACAGATATTTTACACAGTAGCCAGCAGGATTAAGGATGAGAGCACATAGTAAGTATCCATTCATCAATTCCACCAGGTTTCCTGGTTGTCTAGCAAATTCTACAACCCACGTTTGGCCTGCCCCCTTGAGGTTAGAACTGCAATGTGCAAAGTCGAGAGTGTTCCCAGCTGTTGAATGTAGATTAGAATGAAAACAGGCTAAAATATGGTTAATCTTTACAATATATGATCTTGGGCTCTTGGGCCTAATCATTGAGGAAGAAGAATGTCTTGTTTTCTACTGAAGGAGGGTCTAGCAAGTAGGGGTAGGCAGATGATAGTGCAGCCTGGTGACTAGCACCTTACCTTAGAGGAAGAGGGAAGGCATAGGAGTGAAATCATGGGAGCTTGGGAGGTGGCTCAGTGGTAGAGTGCTTGCCTTGCATGCATGAGGTTCTGGGTTCGATTCCTCAGCACCACATAACAGAAAACGCCAGAAGTGGGGCTAAGGCTCAAGTGGTAGAGCACTAGCTTTCAACTGAAGAGCTGAGGGACAGTGCCCAGGCCCAGAGTTCAGGCCGACAAAAAAAAAAGAGTGAAATCATAGAAGGCAAGGAAACTGAGACCTGTTGGTCTTCTTTGGGATGTCTTCGCCTCCCCCCCGCCTCCCTCTGTCCTCTGGGTCTGGGCCCTGTCCCTCAGCTCTTCAGCTCAAGGCCAGTGCTCTACCACTTGAGCCACAGCACCACTTCCGGTTTTGTGAGTAGTTTACCGGAGATAAGAGTCTCATGGACTTTCCTACCTGATCCTTAGATCTCAGCCTCCAGAGTAGCTACAATTACAGGCATGAGCTACTTGTGCCCGGCTTCTTTGGGATTTCTTTTTTTTTTTTTTTTTTTTTGTCAGTCGTGGGGCTTGAACTCTGGGCTTGGGCGCTGTCCCTCAGCTCTTCAGCTCAAGGCGAGCGCTCTACCACTTGAGCTACAGCGCCACTTCCGGTTTTCTGGTAGTTTATTGGAGATAGGAGTCTCACGGTCTCTCCTGCCCGGGCTGGCTTTGAACCGCGATCCTCAGATCTCAGCCTCCTGAGTAGCTAGGATTACAGGCGTGAGCCACCAGCGCCCGGCTTCTTTGGGATTTCTGACAGGCTGTTTACTGTGAAATGTGCCTCCATGTTCCCTTTTTCTCTTTCTCAGCAAAATATGTACCTGGCTGAAAATTAAAGTCCACCATGTGCTTTTACATATCCAGTAAGTAGAGTATAGAGCTGTGATATCCTCCCACTTCTCAATTCTCACCTCTGGTCTGTCTCATGGGGGAGAAAGAGTCACTGAAGCCAACTACATGATTTTTTAATTTTAATTTTTGGTGCCAGTATTGGGAGCTTGTACTCAGGGCCTGGGTACTATATACCACTCCAGCCATACCTCCACTCCTGGCTTTTTGCTAGTTAATTAGAGTCTCATAACCATTCTTGCCTGGAATGGCTTCAAATTGTGATCCTCAGATCTCAGCCTCCTGAGTAACCAGGATTATAGGCACCGGTGCCCAGCTAAATATGTGAATCTTAATTGGGTCTGGGGAATAACAAGTCCAGGCCTCTCTGGTCTCACCTGGCTGGATTGGTGTGAGAGTCCCAAGGCTATCTGAAAACTGCTAGCATTCATGAAGCAGTCATCCCAAGGCTCTTGGCAGAGCAGGGAAGCAACATTGCCCCTCCCTTCCCCCCCCCCCCCCCCCCCCCCCCCCCCCCCAGACACCAGAACAAGACCAGAGCTGTCCTTTTCCTCCTCAACTTGGCAACAAGGCCTGCTTCCTCTCCAGGGGCTCGCTGACCTGCTCCTACCTGTGCCATTCAGAGCAGCGGATGTTCCAGAGCTATGAATATGTGGACTGCCGAGATGACACATCAGTGCCCCATCTGCTAATCCCTCACACACCCTAACTGCCTGTGGTCCCTGGACTCCAGGTACCTGCAAGCCTGGTCCATGACTGTCAACTGTGGTGCCCAAAGAAGGACTTTGCCAAAGGAAAGTCCTGCTTTATCATGCCCAGGCCCTGCCACACCCTTAGCACAAGTTGCTTTCTATAATGTTAACATCACACTTGCAAACACACTCAGTCCTTCATTTTCTATGAATTATTTTCTGTGTGAGCATCAGATCCGATCTTGGTATGTCTAAAGGAAAATCTGACCTCACATTGTGGCTGAGCATGCTGGTTGCCCAGTGCCATCTGGCTTCTTCACTCAGGTTCTTCACCCAGTAATAAGAAAATGACTTTGGGGACATCCAGTGTTGTGTCTCTCTGCTTCAGAGTCAGGTGACAAAATGATGGGAATGACTCTCTTCTGTCTGGTAACTTATCACAGTAAGATTGGCCAAAACTCTGTTCTTCCCAGGTAATGAGATGGGTCCCTGGAAGATAGCTATTCTCCATCCAAAAAAACCTCCTCTCTAAAGAATGGTATTACCTGGGGCTGGAAAGGTGGCTCAGTGGTAGAGTGCTTGCCTTGCATGCCTGAGGCCCTGGGTTCGATTCCCCAGCACCACATAAGCAAAAAGAAAAAAGCCAGAAGTGGCGCTGTGGCTCAAGTGGTAAAGTGCTAGCCTTGAGCTGAAGAGCTGAGGGACAGCGCCCAGGCCCAGAGTTCAGGCCCCAAGACCGGACCCAAAAAAAATTTTTAAAAAAATAAAGAATGGTATTACCAAGCCAGGTGCTTATGGCTCATGCTGTAGTTCTAGCTAATTAGGAGGATGAGATCTGAGGTTCAAAGTTCAAAGCCAGCCCAGGAAGGAAAGTCTGTGCAACTCTTTATTTTATTTTTTTTTATTTTTATTTTTTGGGTGCGGTCGTGGGGCCTGAATTTTGGGCCTGGGCGCTGTCCCTCAGCTCTTCAGCTCAAGGCTAGCACTCTACCACTTAAGCCATAGTGCCACTTCCGGCTTTTTTCTTTCTGCTTATGTGGTGCTGGGGAATTGAACCCAGGGCCTCAGGCATGCAAGGCAAGCGCTCTACCACTGAGCCACCTTCCCAGCCCTGTCTGTGTGACTCTTATCTCCAAGTAACCACCAGAAAACCGGAAGTGGCACTGTGGCTCAAAGTGGTGAAGCACTAGCCTTGAGCAGAAAGAGCTCTGGCACAGTGCCCAGACCCTGGGTTCAAGCACCATGACCAACAAAAATAGTGTTACTAATGTCATTACTAAAAGAGCTCAAGTACAAGAGGAAGGAAAGGAGCTACCTGGGTCCACATGGAAGAGTCAAAGGCAGTTCTTTTGTTTTATTTTCCCTATATACTAGGATTTGAACTCAGGGCCTTATACTTGCTAGGCAGGTACTCATCACTTTAGCCATATCTCCAGCCCAAAGGCAGTTGTCTTAAAAGGTGTTTATTGGAGCTGGGAATGTGGCTTACTGGTAGAATGCTTTCTTCGCATGCATGAAGCCCTGGGTTCTATTCCTCAGTACCACATAAACAGATAAAAGCTGGAAGTGGCACAGTGGCACAAGTGGTAGAGTTAGTCTTGAGAAAAAGCATCTCAGGAGTAGCGCCCAGGATTGGCAATAACATAAAATGAAAGGTGTTTATTAACAGAGAATTTCTAAGCCCCACAACCTATCCCATGTGAATAGGCACAGATCAAAAATGCCCAGCTGCTATCTTCTGAATGCCTGTAGAAGATGAAGCTGCCATTATCCAGTCAAAGCTGCAGGGCTCAATTCTGTGGACTCCCTGCTCAGCACCTTCTGCTCCCAGAAGCCCCTGCTCCCTTCAAGGCTTTGACATTGAGCAGCAGCCCATCCATCAGGCCTGGAGCCAGATCTCAGACAACTCCCAACTTCCCACTGGGCTCTACATGGAGGCAACTTTTGGACTTAGGCAAAGCAGGAGTGTTATTTGCTCACTAAAGGTGGCTATGACTTTCTCCTTCAGATGAGAGAAACAATCAGATGGTGAAAAGTGAATTTTGAAGTAAGGTGGATGGAGAGGGGTGTCATAATAGAAATAGATGACTAACTGGGGCTACTAAGAGAGTGAAGGTATAGTCTGTATTGTCTCTTAAGGTTTCATCCTATGGAACTTAAGAAACATATAGTAGTATATGGGTGCTGGTGACTCATACATGTAATCCAAGCTACTCAGGAGACTAAGATCTGAAGATCATGGTTCAAAGCCAGCCCAATCAAGAAGTCTTGGGGACTCTTGCCTCTAATTGAAGCTGTGGCTTGAAATGGTAGAATGAATGTCCCTTGAGCATAAAAGCTCAGGGACAGTGTCTAGGCTGATTTCAAGCCTCAGGATTGGCACATAAATATATACATGCATATAACATACATACATACATACATACATTAAAAAACAGAAACAAGGTAGTGCCAGCAATGCACAGAAGCTGAGGGGCTGGGAGACAGGCTAGGGCTGCTTTGTATAAATCACCCAATGCAAATGACTTATATTGTTTTCAATATCTTAGCAGTGTTTAAGAAAAAAAAGTTGACAAGCACTGGTGGCTCACACCTGTAATCCTAGCTACTCAGGAGGCTGAGATCTGAGGATCGAGGTTCAAAGCCAGCTGGGCAGCAAAGTCTGTGAGACTCTTATCTCCAATAAACCACTAGGAAACTGGAAGTGGCGCTGTGGCTCAAGCAGTAGAGTACTCGCCTTGAACTGAAGAGCTGAGGGACAGCGCAGCGCCCAAGCCCAGAGTTTAAGCCCCATGACCGACCAAAGGAAAAAAAAAGTCTCCTGGGAGTGAGAAGAAGCTGGTAAACAATTCTCCGTGTTTCTTAGCATTCTTAGACTAAGTCAAGGCCTCTGACAATGTGTCTTGCTTTTCTGACTGAGATATTACTCATCTATAAGCTATCTTCCAATCTTTAATATTCCTAGTCTGTGCTCTTCCCCTCATCCCAGAAGTGTCCCTCAGGAAACATCCTGGGCTGTACTGAGACAGAAATCCTTAAGTCAGTTCCAAAGATAATGCTCCCTAGGCTACAATGAAATGACCCATTGATTTCTCAGACCTGGGGTGTAAAGAGTCACTGAGGTAGCTTTTCTCAGGATCCCCCGAGCTTGTACCTTACTGAAGCCTGACAACCACAGTCCCTTAGCCCTATCCCCTTTTTCTTTCACCTTATGCTTTTGAAGTCTCCTGGCTGGATGGAAAGGCTGATACCTGGGAAGAGAGGCCTGAAGATTTTTATTTTTTTACTTTTTTGTGCCAGTCCTGGGGCTTGAACTCAGGGCCTGGGCACTATCCCTGAGCTTTTTTGTTCATGGCTAATGCACTACTGCTCAAGCCACTGCTCCATTTGTCTTTTTTTTTTTTTTTCTTTTGGTGGTTATTTGGAGATTGAAGTCTCACAGAAATTCCTTCTCTAGGATGGCTTTGCACCTTAATCCTCAGATCTCAGACTCCTGAGTAGATTGGATTAGTCTTGAGCCCCTTACCTGAGGATTTTAATAGGCAAGCCTCTCTCTCCTTCCCAGGGTCAGGTGTCCCATACCTGAGGCTGCAGCTCCCTTCTAAGTTCTCCTTTCCTGTCACATAAACCATCTAACATCTGAGTAGCTATTATGGGCCAGGAATTACATGTGAATCCCAGGCCTGCTCTGGTGTGGTGTAGTTCTTTCTCCCTCAGGCCATATCTCAGAGGAGCAAAGACCCAAGTATTGCTCAATATATCTGATCTAGCCAAGCACTCTTGGTTCCTGCTTATAACCCTACTCAGGAGGCTGAGACTAAGGATCACAATTTAAAGCCAGCGCAAGCAGACAAATCCGAGAGACTCTTATCTCCAACTACCTACTAAAAAAACTGGAAATGGAGGTGTGGCTCCAATGATAGAGTACCAGAATTGAGTGAAAAAGCCAAGAAAGCAGGAGGCCTTAAGTAACACACACACACACACACACACACACACACACACACACACACACACACACACAAAATAAACCTGACCTGACAATGAGCTAACAGACCTATTATTGCTGAACAAGGCGAGTAGGAATAGTAAAACTAGTAGTAGGAGATGCAGATATAGTCCAAGAGACTATATCTCCAATTAATCAGCAAAAACAAAACAAAACAAAAACAACAACCCTAGACTATAGGTGTTAAGTGGTGTGAGAGGAAAAAGAGTGAGAACATAAGGCCCTGAGTTCAAACCCCAGTACCAGCAAAAAAGAAAAAAAAGGAAAAAGAAGCATGGATTGCCTTCCACTCTCTACATCACCCTATGGGTCCTCCTGCCCCACCCTCATCTTAGTCTCAAAGCTGACTGTTCTGGTTCCTTCCAGAAGTCAATTAAGCTTCTAGCTAGCCTGATCTTCGAGCATGGATTGCTTTTGTGGTGGAGATATTGCTGGGTGGTGAGAAGGTACGATTGTGAATTGGTATTCTGGTGATGCATTGGGGTCCTGAAGTCCATCTCTACATCACCATTGCTGGATGTAATTAGTTGACTGAAAAAGAAGAGAGACAAAAAAGGAAAACAAGTTAGTAGTTACCAGGCCTGCTGGTTTTAGAGTATTTTCAACCCTTTGAGGTAAAGGAATAAAAATGAACTATACAGCAGGTGCTGGGGGCTCACACCTGTGATCCTAGCTACTCAAAACTCCAAGGTCTGAGGATCATAGTTTGAAGCCAGCTAAGGTAGGGAAGTCTATGAGACTTTTATCTACAATTAATCAGTAAAAAGCTGAAAATGAAACTGTGGCTCAAGTGGTAGAAAGCTCACCTTGAGCAAAAAAGTTCAGGGACATTGCCCATGCTCTGAGTTCAAGCCACAGGACTGGAACAACAAAAAAGTGAATTATAGCAGTTCTGTCCTCAGCCTAAACTGATCATCATTCTTTTTTTTTTTTTTTGAGTCTGGTCGTGGGGCCTGAACTCTTGGCCTGGGCACTGTCCCTCAGCTCTTCAGCTCAAGGCTAGCGCTCTACCACTTGAGCCACAGCACCACTTCCGGCTTTTTTCTTTTTGCTTATGTGGTGCTGAAGAATCGAACCCAGGGCCTCAGGCATGCAAGGCAAGCTCTCTACCACTGAGTCACCTTCCCAGCCCCTGATTATCATTCTGATAATGATAATAAATAACTATGTTTCTAGGTTTTTTTTGTTTTGTTTTTCCAGTCCTGAGACTTGAGCTCAGGGCTTGGGCACTATCCCTGAGCTTCATTTGCTCAGGGCTAGCACTCTACCACTCTAGCCACTAAGCCACTTCCAGCTCTTTCTGTTTCTGTGGTACTAAGGAATGGAACCCAGGACTTCATGTATGCTAGGCAAGC